CGTCCCTGTCCCCGGTACCGCGTGAAGCGAGTCAGTAACGGCCGGGCACCACAGCAGCCCCGTACCACCGCTCGTTACGCCGAGATAAGCCTTTTTCTGTCTTTGCACAGCACTCAGTCAAGCTAGGATAAGCCTCCCCCAACGAGTTATGAGTTTCTGCTCTGAAAATTCATTACTAAGGGTCCTGTGTCCAGGAGGAGGGCTCATCCACGCACCGACAGGTTTGCCTCAACTCCACCTCAGGTTTGTCTCTAAAAAAACCTAATTTTAAAAAGCCTGTTACCTAACAGAACGGCATCCGTTCACCAGACATCGACCAAAGCATCGATACCCCCGGCAGCAGGGGAGTTACGCCTTCCTCAGCAGAGCTCTGCTGCCCTGCAAGGGCTCAACACCTTATCTGAGAAGGAGCCCTGTGACACCAAAGTGCTGCAAGGAAAAAAACCTGTCAGCATAACTCAGCAGAGGGAAAAAGGAGCATTTCAGGATTTGCAAAGCCTAATGAAAATGTCCCTCTTGCAAGATAAAGCCAATGTCAAAAAGTCTGTGACTTAATATTCAGTTTATCTAAGGAAAGAAAAAAAAGAGAAAATTTTAAGGCGAGGGAAAGGTTTTCAAGATTAATTAAATCAGGAATAGATTAAAAGGTATTAAAATATTTTTCATTTTACTATAGTTTCAGGTAAAACAGTTTGCATAGCTAACTTGCATTACTACGGTGCACTATAATATGCGATTCTTCTTTAGTAAATCTTGTAAAAACATTGTGTAGTTACTTATTTTGCAGATGACAAAATACTATACTAGACATGTTATCAGTTGAAAGTACTGACACATTTTTTTCCATCTTTTTAGGCACTAAATAGCATTTAGTACCTTTTATTTTTTTTTAATATTGTGAAGTCATGAAATAAACAGCAGCAGGAGATCTGAAAAGTTGAGTATTGTTCAACTACCTACATAAAACCTCTCTTTTCAGCACTTACCCTTTAAGAACTGTGCTATACTACAATATAAACATCGATTTAATCTTCCCCAGAGATAATTTTCTTGCAAGCCATACATTGAAGCTCTTTTGCTAGCTTAATCTTTGTGGTGTCCTTACAAATCCTGTAAAATATAGAAGAGAAGCTGTATGGCATTTGCAAAATGGTTATTTATATTCAAGACAACCTATAAACCCACCACCAAAACCACATTGGTCAGTAGCCCCATCATTTTTCTCAGTGTCATACTCGGATGGCTGAGCTTCAGTGTCTTTCCGCAACTTGCGAGGGACATGTCCTTCCCTGCCCTTGGCTGTCAAGATACATCTTGCCCTGTTCCAGGGCTTTTACAAAGACTGAGATAGTCTTGCTTGCAAAGGGATCCTTCCATCCTCCTACTTCTACTCTGCGTTAGTATTGATACAGCATATGCTTGCAAGAATACGCCTAAGGCTTAACTGCTTTTTTCTGTATTACTCATGGAATTGTAGAAAAATGTCACCTTCATTTACATTCTAGAAAGCAATATTGGAATGACTGTAAAAAGAAAGAAAAGCTTGAAACTTGACCGAGATTTCAACAAGAACAACATGTTTGTTGGTTTTTTGTTTTTAAATTACTGTACACCTAGTAATAACTACTACTTCTTAAACAGGGTGTAGAGTCATTGTGAAACTCCAGGGGTTTTTTACTTCTGGTTTCACTGAATTCTTTTGTTTAGGTAGATCGTAGGCATGGGGTTTGTCTTTTTCCTTTCCAGGTATCTTCAGTCATCCCCAAGATGCCTGAAGCTGATTTTTATATTTTGGAAGAAAACGTGTTTTCTGCTCCAAGGAGAAGCTTGTTTTTTCTTACATTACACTTTCACACTGTGGAAGCAATGTTGTGTGCCGTACTACGTAAGACACGTAAGCTAGCTAGATGGGCAGTATAAAGTACTAAGCAGGGCCCACACTATTGCAGGAAAACATTTTGAATCAAAGGTAGGAGACTTCCGCAGTACTGAAATGGATCTTGTGAAGCATTTCCTTTTAAGCTGAGTTAATCAAAACCAGCCCCAGATCTCTTTTCCTCAAGACTTATCCCTCATGGAAACTTGCTTTCTTCTAGCATACAAAAGATGCTCATACTTGATGCATAAAAATGCAAAGTTGCTAGTTTATCAGAGTTCAAATAAATCATCACAAGTAGATTATCTTTCATTCAAACTAGCTTGAGTTGGTTTTATGTGGTAATTGCACACAAGTATCTTACCGAGAAGTGAAATACTTGAATTCCACCTTACCTTTTGGATTCCTTGTGGACACCATAGCCTGGATATTCTATTAAAAAAAAATTCTTAAGGCAGTTATTAGAACCAGAGAGTTGACTTCAAAAGGAGGTAAGTTGTCTCCCATTGCTTTCTACTTTATCTTTTAAATTGCCAACGAATTTCCTAAAATAATACTTTACGGCGCCTGTTTCCAATTTATGTAGGCCCCCACTGTAATCTACTTAGATTGAGATTGCCTTTATAAAGCAGCAAACAGATACACTTCTACTTTTTTATTTTAAAAAAAAATCTTAAAATTTTGTTTATTTATTTTTACAAAAGAATGTACAGGAGTTGCTTAGACCATTGATACTATACAACCGATTAAGATTCTAACAGCCACCACTTTATTTCATTCTTATTTGATAATTCTGGGCTACTGAAAGAGTAAGCTATAAAGATTATTATCTACAATGCGGAAGCTTAAAATAATTTACTGTTTTCGTAAATATTTCTCATTCCTGAACATCTCTAAGACATGAAAAATGTAAGATGAGAACAGAATGTACTAGAAAATGGCCTTCCTTATTATTACAGAAGCACTGAGATAAGAGGAGTACCCCTGCATGGCACCAATCTGACTCAGTTTGAGGAAGAAGAACAGTCCAACTGCGATATAAAGGTGGAAAGCTACATGGTTGAACTATTTCCAGTTAAAAAACCCTTAAACATCATCTTTATGGACTGAAAACATTAAGTTTTAGGAGTCTTACTTTTCATACAACAGAAATATTCAGAATTGTTCCAAAGTCTCACAAATTTATTGTCATATAAAAACAGATTCAATCACAAATAATCAGGCTGAAGTCTTGTCAAATACAAAATGAAGTATAAAAATAGAACACAATATACAAGACTAGAAGTAGTTAAATATTACTGAAACCAAAAGTAACACTGGAATAATTGTTATTTACAAAATCTTGCCTAATCTCTGAGTCCATCTTGAACTACAGTACTTTCTTTACTTTTTTAGGAGATTAACATGCAGATCTGACAGCTGTAAATAACAAAATGAAACGAATTTATACAAATATATGTACATTGAGGCACAGTGCTTTGTAAAGACTTTGTTACCCAGCCGTTACTGTGAGGAGTTGTTTTTAGTCATTCACATTTTAGAAGACTTGTCTCATCCTCTCCCTGCCCCCCTCCCACCCAGGGTTATTTAACACTTAACTGCAAACTCAGAAAGAAACAAGCTTCTTTTATTAAAACGGTCTCCTCAGAAAAAAGCAACTTTGCTGTGGAAGTTGTGACAGTTGGTCGTTACAAAAGGTCTTCTTGCTATGTGATACACAAATCACAGAGAAAGATAGTATGAAGTAGTTCCCATTGATTAGTTTGTGCATTTAAATATTATAAATGCACTTATTGGACAAGCACCAGACGAACCCACATTTCAGTTGTGGAGAGCACTATCATGATGATAGATATATACATTATTTTAAATACTTATAGAAATTTAATATACAAATGGCTCTGAATATACAATAAAATAATGTGGTTTAAAAAAAAATTAAAAAAAAAAATCAAACTATGGTGAGAATACCACCATTAGGCACAAAGTATTTCTGTTGTTAGCAATTTTAAGGGAAGTCCAAAGACAGATCATTTATCATTTGTCTGGGTATTTCGAGATGAATCCCTTCAAGATAATGCAAGAACCTATAAAAAGAAAAGTAAAAGTGACTATAAGAGAACAAAGTTATTTCCAAATACAAGGCAACCCTTTCATTATTTAGATAGGCAAACATTCACCTTTCTCGTCTAGGATTTTTTGAAAAAATATTTTATTAAAATTCTTAACTACGTTGTATCTTGAAATGTAGCAAGATTTAGGAAAACAAAAAAAACCTTACCTTCTTTTAGTCTTCCCTTGCTCTTTAAGCTTCTCAGACCTACAGATACAGCGAAGAGTGGGGAGGTATTCAAGTATGCTGGCTTGCTTATTACCCAGGTTTAAAGGACTTCTGGAAAATACAGTTCTGATGACTGCCAGCCTCTTCTGTGCTTTTTTGTGAATGCTAAAATGGAAAATGAAGCTTTATTGTTTCTTGTTCAAGAATATGCAGTCCCTATTTTGTTCTGTTAAGATAAAACCCACTGGTTTAGAACTCTCTTAAACATACCGATGTCCAAAACTGTGTCCCAATGGATTAGATGCCTGCAACTTCTGATCGTGTGCTGCTTACACAGCATCACAAAGCTGCAACTCGGAGATAGAAACAGGAGGGACAGTAGTTTGTTTGGCCAATGCTCTTAGCTTAACTATAGAGTCTAGTCAGGGGAGGTCTTCACAATCTAGTTATGTATGTGAGGTTTAGTACATCTGCCAGACAGTGTAACTGAAAGCATCTGTGGTCTTCAAAAGTTAAAAGCGTCATGCGATTGGATCTGATATACATTGGTATTTGCCAGAATGTCAATAACTCATGATATATTGGCCAAACTTGGTCACAGGTTAGATGGTTAGCTCCATTTTGACCTTGCTCCTCTGGGTACTGACTTACAGAAATAAGTCTAAGCTATTTTCCTATTCAGACACTTGAATAGGTTTTATTCACCTATTATGCCAATTTCATGTATGACGACTTGTTTATGTTAAAAATAATCTTTCATATCCACACTTGCTAGCAGCAATGTATTCTTCGATCTTTTATAATATATTAAAGGCTATTCTTCAGTAGCATAAGGTACTACCAAAAAATTGCAATAACTTTGCTCTGAATTTTGTTAGGTCTTCATCAAGCAACACCTACGCATCTAATACAGACTCAATATGACCAGGCACTGGATGAAAAATTTGCATGTCTAGTACTTGCAGAATCCATTTCAGTCCATCTGTCTGTCTTGAAAAAGCCATTCCTTTAGATTTGTTTTTTTCTTTTGGGGGTAGTGGTGGTGTTTGTTTATTCGTTTCTAAAGTAAATAGACCACATTAAGGCTACCATTCCTGAATAACATTATAGTCAGGCTATCCAAACAAGAAAAGTCACTTTTTGCAGAGATTGCCCAGCAGTTAATTTAAGCTTATTTAAGCAAAGTGAACAACATATTCCAGCGTTTTGAGACACACTGACAACATTCATCTTGGTATGAATGTGTATACATAGTATCTGAAACAGTCCTACACCCTGTGAAATGCTTTTATTGACAAATAACTGCATTATATTCCAGAAATATTAGCAAAGTCTTACCTTGAATCAGTTGACTGACTGAAGGATACATAATTTCTTGTGTTTGAAATACGCAAAGTAAGTCCCTCCAGTTGATCACTTTCAGGTGTTTTACTGGTACTCAAAGAGGATTCCAAGTTTTGTGAAATATTAACAGAACATTTGTTAAAACTGAGTGCTTCAATAGCTGCCTTTATTTCACTACAGCTCTGGGAAACCCACCAATCAGTATTTTCTATACTGAATTCATCACAAAGACCATTTTTGATTTTGCCATTTGTCCAATTAAATCCTTCATCTTTAGAAAACTCCAGTGGTTCCTCGGTGTTAGTGTTTACACAGCAATCCAAGAAAGACATGTTCTCCACAAATTCAGTCAGTGAATTCAGACACTGCAAAACAAGAGCAGACCTTTTCTCATTTGCCGAGGTTTTAGTTTTAATTTCTTTTTCTTCTTTATTCATTGACAATTTTGATTCCTCTTTATTCACTTCAGCACATGACATAGGACTATCTGATGGCAAAGTTATGAATTCAGCTGAATAGTTCAGTCCAGTATCAAATAAGTCACTGTCATCCAATATATCAAGCCTTTTCTGCTTCTTTGTCTTTTTAGACTTTTTTCCAGGGCTACTTTTTCCAGAGCAATAACTGTTAGTAGATCTGTTTTTCGAAGAAACAATGGTAGTCCTTTGAAGTATAGAGTTAGAGGCTTCAGACTGGTTTGAAAGTACTTGCACTGGTAAGGGAAGAATAAGTTCAAGATTACTATATATAAAATCCACTTTCTTAATCTGGAATTCTGTGAGAAGCTGCATCAATTTATTCCATTTCTCCATGGTTGTGATTTTGTGCTGTAAAATAATAATAGTGAAAAATTTATTAATACATTCAAATAATTTTTTAAAAAAGACAATGTTATTACAGAAAATCTCATACTCCTGGCTTTGCGTTTATGAGGTGAGGGACTGTTTGTTGCTTGCAGGAGACTGGCCCAGTTCAGATTTTGCTTAATAACAACAAAATGCCCTAAATTCTACAACAAAGCTTTTCAAAGAGATTTGCTTCTAAGAAGATGCTATTCATAGTGACAATTACACTCAATTATCTGGCAATCATTCAAAGTACTAGCTAGTCGACTACAAAAATACCTTAAGAAATGTAAACAAATCTTCTGAAGGCAACAGGATATTCTTAAGGCCAAGCAACGTCTCTACACAGCCTGTATCACATTTTGGAAACTCCTGAAGACGTGCATCAACTTGCGAAAAATCAGTCTTGGAATCAGCAGTCTTTTCAGAATGAATTACATGATCTGCTTTATTTGTCTCATCTCCTCCTGCACAAAGATAACATGCTTTACTTGAAAAGAAACAATTGCATCATGAAATTGATTTTTCCCCTCTTTGCTGAAGTTGGGGTTTTCCTTTTCTAAAGGGATTTTCTAAAATAACTGTCACCTCTTGCTGCAGTTCTGAATGAATATAGCAACTGAAATTAGTCATCCCCATGCCCATACATCATCCCCATTTCATTTCTGAAGTGTTGCCAATCTGCCCGCTCTCCCTTCTTTGCAAGTAACCATTTGAAATAGTCTCTTCTTCCTCGTATGCCCCACTAGTCTCTCTCTGTCACTCGCTCACACGCTGTCTCACTCACCCACACCTGTTGAGGATACTCCTCGTATATCCTCTGGGACCAAGTTCTTATCCTTGCTGCCTGCTTGCTAGTTGTCCCACTTTTCTCCTATTTTCAGTTCTGCTTCTTCTAGGCGAATTACCTATAACTCAGCTGAATGGATAAAGAACTGCAAACTCCGAGT